TGAAGCATTTCCTGAGAGACGTATGCTGTCCGTGTGGAGCTGCTGCGTCGCAGCGCAGCGTCTTCCGCCCTGCGTGGATCTGGGACGGGCCCTCTCTCTTTCTGCCGCTCCTGCTCATCCTCCTCTCTCCAGATCCTGCCCCCCCCGCTGTTTTTCTGTCCGACATAGGGCTCGGGAGTCTAAGGCTCGGAGCACCTGCGCACCGCAACGCTGCCATGACCGCGGTGGTCGGGGCAAAGGGAAGGAAGGCGACGAGCCTTGCGCCCGAGGTGAGGGCACAGACACCCAACGAGATGCCTCGCGTAGGCTTTTTTTAAGATACCGTTGCAAAAACATGCAGCTCACGGATTTCGGGGACAGAGGGCGCTGGCGCCCGATCTTCCGCAAGCAACTCACACGCGAATGCCCTCGCGTTCGACCTCCTGCTTTCAGTCGCCGGAGGGGCTGAGGCCACGAGGCACCACGCTGCCCACAAATCCCCCTCTCTTCGCGCCTCTCTCATTCTGTCCAGCGTTCCACGGCGCCCTCCCACTCTCCCGCAAACCTGTCCTGCCAGCTGGAAGCGCCCGGCGAACCTTAACACGCGGCAGAGAACTCAACCTCCACGCAAGCCGCTACGCTCACCAGCACAGCCAGTAGTGACAAGGCAGAAGTGCGAGCGGGGCTGGAACGACACGCCCTCAACGACATCGGCAATAGAAACAGACAGGACACCTTCGCACCATCACCAGCATCCCAGCGACTATCCAACTGCAAACCAACCCAAACCCGAATCGCTGCCACCATCTGGGACGATCTAACAAGCGGGCAAAGGCATCTCACCAACACCTTCTGGTGTTGGGAACCGATCGCCACGTTCGCCCGTGCCAAAAACACAACACACATCCATTGCCAGTCAAATACGGTGATACTGTCGTGTCCAGCCACGCTGTAAGCAACAGCGCAGTCCCACTGAAGAGATCCCCGCGCTCATGCCACAACTGGACACCGCAGTGTAACGGCTCACGCCAAATAGCGAGCACCAAGAACACTTGCGGGACGAGAGCTCGAGACGAAAGCAGACCTACGAGATCAATGCGGCGAGAAATGGCAGTCGTAAGGGGGGCCAGACTCGCAAACATCACGGAGCCCCTTTAGGAGGCAGCAGCAGCCCACATCGAATCGCGAAATCGGATCGGACTGGATCATGCGTCGGATCGTGCCGCATCGGCATGAAGTCGAAGACGAATCGGATCGGCCGCGCCAGGATGCACAACGGCGGCATGCAAGTATCGGGCACCACCCGATCGTCGGAATATTGGAATCGAATCGGATCGAGCCCGCCAGAATTGACATCGAACGAATCGGATCGGGATGGGGGTCCCCGGGGGCCTCCTCAGCAGTCCGAGAGGCCACCCCAGTGATCCCGGGAGGCCCCTCCAGGAACACAGCCTCTCGAGAGCCTGCGTCCTCTCCCCTGCCTCCCTCCCATTGGCTCGGACAGAGTAGTGTTTCGTCGGGCGCGTCCCCCTGCAGGGGGATTTTCGACGAAAAGAACAAATTCTCCAAAAATACCGCAAAATGGTCAACAAATACTAAGCAAATCGTCCCCAGACTATTTTTTTGACTATTTTTGAAGATTCCCCCTGTAGAGGGACGGGCCCGACTTAACATTACTCCCTCCCTACATGCCGTCATCCCCTTCCTTCCGCAAGACCGCCCCCAGACGCCCCCAAGACCGCACCAAGATCAGCCCAGACTGCCGAAGAAATAACATACCGAGCCTGTTCAGAGGGCTCGGAAGATCCATCTCGACCAAGATGGCTCCCCGACCGCCAACAGGTCCCGAGGAGCCCCCTGGAAGCTTCACGAGGCCCCCACAGACCATCTCAAGTCACGCGAAGAGCCCCCCAGAAACTTCAAGAGGCCTCCTAAAACAACCCCAAGACGCCCAAGGTCTCCAAAGCGGCGCCTGTTAGGCAAGCGCATTAGCAGGCCATGCGGGATTACAATAGCTTTTGCCTCGGATGGTTCGGCATCCGAAAATTTCGGGAAGGCGCCCGCGACCTCCAGAAAGGCCCCGAAACACCTCAAGACGGCCTCAAGACGCAATGACGCACCTATAGGGCCCCCAGACCGCAGCAAAATCCGCCCAAACTGCCCAGAAATTGTTCAACCGAGCCTCTTCGAGAGAATTCTTCAGATCCTTCGCGATCAAGACGGCCCCCGACCCCCACCGGGCCTCCAGGAGCCCCCATCTGAGCACTCAAGTACACCTGAGACGACCTCACTGCCCCCAAGAGGGCACTGACAGGGCTGGTTACACGATTCTTTACGCTGCGCGATCCTCCGCAAGACTACCAGGGAGCGGCTGGTGATGCGCCGCCAGAGTCCTCGATAGTCAACGCGTACTGGGAACAAATAGCGAGAGACAGAGAAGCACCCCTCAGCTCCCAAGGGGGCGGAGCCTGCAGAAGTGGCGAGCGTGACCTTGCTGCCTCGGGAGCCAGCAAGAAATTCAGACCCGTAGGCAGAGGCCATGCATGCACACACGCCGCGTGAGCTGGTAAGACTATCTCCCCCCCCGTGCCGCGCAATACTGTTCGCTTGCCCACCTCGTTCTTCTCGCTTCTCCCCCACCTCATCCCTCTTCGTCGTCGCCCTCCCGCTCGTTCCTTTTCAGCCCTCCACCCCAAGAGGGCCCCCAAAGGACGCCCACTAGGGCCCCAAGATGCAACAATTCGCCGACCCCCTGGGGCCCGCTCGGCGTGCGAGGCCTCACCTGCTCCAACAATGCTCCCACACGGCGCCCTCCGATGGCCTCCGGAATGCCCCCAGCCGCTCCCAGACGACACGCGATGGCCTCCACGTCGCCCCAGATGACCCCAATGCGTCCCCAAAACACAAGCCTCCAGACGCCGCAAGGAGGCACCCCACACAACTCGAAAGCGCCTCAAAAAGACTCCCAATAGGGCCCCAAGAACCAAGCATCGCCTCATTCCATGTAAAGAAAGCTTGAACTTCAGCATCTGCACATGTTCGGTCTTCATCACGTTCACGGAGGCCCCTAAGGCCCCCAATGCTGTCCCACGACGGCCAGCAAGGCTGCCCAGAAGACCCCGAGACGCCCCAAGAACGCCCAAAGACGGCCCCAGACAGCGCCCGAAGACGTCCCAAGGGAGCCCCCTCTTGGACCCTCAAGAGGTGCCCAAGAAGGGAAGCTCGAACTGACACCTCGGGCCCTGCGCCCCACGAGGGCCCCCGCAACGGCCAGCAGGCCCCCTGGAAAGCGCCAACAGGCCCCTAGAAGCCCCCCAAATGCCCCGAAGAGGTCGCCAACCCGTTCGAAGTACGGCGTGGGGTTTCCCCGATGGGCGCACGGCGTCAACACGCGTCCAGGACAACACGCGCCGCAAGAGTGGCATCCAGCGCTCCCACAGGGCCAGCGGTGCGGCGTATGCCAATGAATCAATGAGTTACGTAAGGATTTTGAAGGATTTCAGCGTTTCGTCTTCCGGTCTCCCAACGCTCCAAGACCACCCATGAGGCTCCGGAATCGTTCCACGACGACCCAAGGAGCCCCATATAGGGCCCCAAGACGGGCCAACTGGGTCCTAAGAGTGGCCAACGAGGGGGCGCACGAAATGAAAAGTCGAGAACTCTGCCCCAAGACTATCGCCGAAACAGCCAGCAAGCCCCAAAGATGCCCCTAAGAGGCTCCTAAGAGGTGCCCAAGAAGCCCCAATGGCCCCAAAAATGCCCCTAGAGGCCCCCAAGAGGCCCCAAGGAGGCCCCAAGAGGCCCCAAGAGGCCCCAAGAGGCCCGCAGGAGGACCCCAAGAGGAGCCCAAGATTCCTTCAAGAAGCCTCCGATAGGTAGTACAAGGGTTTCTTAAACGCATTCAAGAAGCCTCTGGCCCACGATCCAGGCACGGGGGTGGACTGGGCCGAAGGCCACTAAGTAAAAGTGTCATGGTATTCTGTCCCTTCTTCAATCTTGAAGCGCTGCTGAAGCCGTGTTGGAATAATCGGCGACCTGCCTTCGTGCGATTTTCGGCTCCCTCGCAGTCACCAGGCCGTCAGGCCCCTCGAATAGATCAAACCCATAGACATCGGTGCACATGCCACGCATGCGCACACGCCGCGTGAGTTGGTAAGACTACTGTCTTGCGAAGCCCCGCACCCCCACCCATTGTAGCCCTCCTGTGTGAAAGCGTAGGTGGTGAAACCTTCAACTCCTAGACTGCTGACCATTCCGAGCACATCTGGACGGCTGGGCACTCGGATCTTGTTTCGGATCTGTAGAGCTGTGGGGTACAGCAGCTATTATCTCGTATCGATTTCAGAAGCCCCTGCTCGTCAAGCAGCAGCGTGTAGCCCACTCGCTTGCACGAGACCTCGCTTCATGGGGTTGTGGGGGGACCTTCTCCTCCCTCTCCTCTTCCCCCCCTCTCCTACGCCTTCTCATCACCATTCCACATTAACTTCTTCCTGCTCCTCCGCCTCCTCTAGTGTCTCCTCCACTTGAGCCCCAACCTTTCGTCACCAATCCTGACCGCGTACGGCTGAAAACTGGCCCTTGCGGAAGTCCTTGCCAGGAGAGGTTTCGGGTCGCCTTGCCCGCCCTGTCCTGCCCCCCGGTCCTCCCCGCTCCGCTCACACCATGCCGAACACTCGGGCGGGCCTCGCTCACGAACGTATCTGCCGAGATGCGTGGAAGAGCTTATGGTGAGACTGAGGCCTCAAGAAACATGTGTGCCCATGCGGGTGCAGATGATGACGCACTCAGCGTTCTGTGCAGTCAGTCTCCCTTCACGTACGTTCGCGCTCATGCTCTCCGCGCAACAGGTGAGAGGACTAGGAGGCCTGGAAATGGGCAACAACACCAACACAGGGGGTTGCCTCTACAGGAGGAAGGTGATCCTAGATTTCGGCGTTGGTGGTAATAGTTCGGTCACCTTGAAGCCAGAATATGACCACCATCACCGAGATCGGGATCTTCTTCCCTCGGTGGATGCACACCGCCGATATGGGTGTTGGTGTCAACCTCTAGGCCTGCGAAGGACGGGCGAGACGCGTGGACGTGACGCGATTGCAGCTCGGATTCCGACTTGCTGGTCGCGGGCCTTGGCACGTCCACCCTTCCGCTTGAAGACCCACAAGCCCGCTGGCTGGTTGGGCCGCCCTCGCCTGGCATTGGGGGGCAGGGGCGTGGTGGGGCAGAGGGGAGAGGCGGAGAGAACGGCGAAGGAAGGCCCACAGCCCCGCTGGCTGGTTGGGCCACCCTCGCCTGGCATTACGGGCAGGGGCATGGTGGGGCGGAGGGGAGAGGCGGAGAGAACGGCGAAGGGAGGGGCGGGAATGGGGAAGTTAGGAGCACGGACGCGCCAAGGGGGGGGGCAGCGGAGCGAACGGAACGGGTAGCCGGCGAGGGGAGGGGAGCGGAAAAGGGACAGCTCAGCGAAGGAGGGGGGGGCGGAGCGGGGCGGAGAGAGGGGTCAGAAGTGGCAGCCGAGGAGGAGGATGAGGAAGCAGAAGAAGAAGGAGGGAAACCCGAAGTGTTACTGGTGCTGAGATTAGGTACTGACTGCTTCCAGCCGTTCCCCAACACGGCTGCTTCGCAAGTCTGCGGCGGCTTGCCTGCTTGGTTGATTGGACTCCCTTTCCAGAGGCCCATGCTCGTCAAGCTGCAACGGGCGTGGCACTCGAACACCCCAAGAAAGAACCGCCGGGAGTGGGGGCGTTTGCCCGTTTGCGGCCCGGTTGTGGGGATGCTGCAGGCGGCTTGCCTGCTTGGCTGATTGGACTCCACCCTTTTTTGGAGCCCCCTGCTCATCAGGATGCAGCAGGCAGAGCATGTGAGTACCAAGGAGGATCCGCCAGGTGTGGGGACCTGTGCCCATTCGCGCCCAGCTTGTGGGGATGTCTCCAGCGGCTTGCCTGCGTGGTGGCTCGGACTTCGGTGCGCTGAAGGCAGGCTGTGAGGGCGCGTCGGGCGAGGCGCTGGTTTCAGCACCACATGGGGGAGCTGCCAGGCAGGGGGACACTCGCCCGTTGGCACCCAGGTTGTGGGCATGTCTCGGGCGGCTTGCCTGTTTGGTGACTTGGACGTCGGCGCGTTCAAAACAGTCTGTGAGGATGTCTCGAGCGAGGCGCTGGCTTCAACACCCCAAGCGGCCAAATCGTGGGGATGCATCGGGCGGGCGCGGCGCTCGATGTTGCACCTTCGGCTTCTGTCTATTCAGGGCCCCGTGACTACTGCGATGAAGGGAAAAGGACGGCCGCCAGGACGGCAGAGGGAGGACGGAGGAGGACGCAGGAGAAGGGAGAAGGGAGGAAGAGCAGGGAGGGGAACGTCTAATAGCAAGAGGAAAGACATGGAATGGGGGACCGCTTACCGCCTGTCTGTCAATGAGTTCTCCTGGTCGCCGTCCCTAACCGTAGCAGCCGCCGCCGCCGCCGCCGTCGTCGTCGTCGTTGTCGTCGTCGTCGCTGTCGTTCACTCGTCATCCACTCGGACTCGCTCTCGCGCCACGACGATCACGGCCACACTCACAGCGGGACGTGCCAGGAAATGAGATGCACATGTGGGAATCTCGATATCCGCAAGTGGCGCCCCTGACACATCGACCAATTGCAAGGACTGTTGTTGTTTCGGCCTGGGTCCTTCTTCGACGGTTCCCATGGTCCGCAGCGGACCTCCAAAGGCAGAGATCGGCGAAGAAGTGGCTGCCCAGAGTCAGAGTTTGCTCGTGCTGTTGGGTGCCTGGGGGAGGAGGAAGGTTCTTGTTTTTTTCCACCGCAAACACGCCACCAAGAGCTCGCTCCAAGCTGCCGGCTGCCCCAAAGCGCTGGACACCAAAATGTCGTGGTTTGGTGCCGCTGACCCGAACGTGTCCAGGAAATTCACAGGCCCAAGGAGGAGGAGGAGGAGGAGGAGGAGGAGGAGGAGGAGGAGGAGAAGGGGGAGGAGGAGGAGGAGGAGAAGGAACAGGAGGAGGAGGCAGAGTAGGAGGCAGGGGAGGAGGAGGCATAGTAGGAGGAGGAGGAAGTGGAGACGGAGGAGAAGGAAGAGGAGGAGGAGGGAGGAGGAGCGTCAGTAGCCTGAGGGCGGGCTCCTGTGACGCGCGGCAACGGGCCGCGGCGGCGAGAGCCTAGGCCTCAGCGGGCTACTTCATGATGTTGGGGCGGCCGAGGGCGGCCAGGCGCGCGCCCAGGTGGTGCTTGTAGGTGTAGCCGTTCACGCCCTGGGTCTTGACCTCGAGGTACGTGTAGTATGAAAGGACGAGACGCTGGATAGTCATCGACAGCGGGTGTTCCCCGTGCTCAGGCGAGTGATGTCCCAGACCCAGGCGCTCCAGTGCAGTGGCCTGCGAGAAAGTACGCGGCAGGCAGACCAGATGCTGGAACCGATCGCGCACCAGTTAGTGGGCGATCGCGCCTGGCTGCCGAAGGCAACCGAAACGGCGCTGATCCACCTCGGGGGTGACGTGCATGCGAGAGCTCGTGTGCCAGCCACCTGCAAGAGTCCGCAGAGTAATCCACCTCCGCGAGGGAGCCACCGTCACCAGGAAGCTTTTGAGGATGGACCAACGCAGCTTCAAGTCATGTGGAACAGCAGCAGCTCCAAACCAGGCCGTGAGCCGCTTGGCGATGGCGACCCCGAAGTCGTCCTTCATCCAATGGGAGGTCAGGGCTGTGATGAATCCTCGCTTCGGCTCGGGCTTGGAACCAGCTTCGAGGGCGTCATGTGCGGCCCGGTGAGCACTGGCCCTAGAGCGAAGCAGATCATGGTGGCGATGAGCTGGAACTTGGGCGGAACGGCCCTGCATCATCTCCTTGAGGCGCTGGGCAATCGCCTGCGGCTCCTCCCAGAAGGCAGGGGGCCGTTTGTTCGTCGCGAACGCAGGAAGCCCGCAAGCAGCTTGGGCGATCTCAAAGAACCCCTGGAACAGGGGCTGCACCAGGTTGAGGGTGAAACGAGCGGCGCGCAATTGAGTGCCAAGCGAGTAAGTGAGCAGGGAGCTTGGCGCTAAACCAGGCAGCCAGTGGTTGAGCGCGTGGACATCTTTGAAGCGGAAGGTGATGGGAGGCACGCGTAGAACTGTGTGAACTGCGTTGGTCCCCTTTCGCCTGAGCTGTGGGGGAAGACCAACAACTGCGCCAAGTAGCCGAGGACGGTGATCGCCGACGTCTGATTGAGCCTCGCATTGGCGTCCGTGGGAGCTGATGCACTGCCAATGGCCACCACTCTCTGCCACCACGTGGAGCCAGCAACCGCCAATTGTAGATCTTTGTCCGCGTCAGGGCCCACATGCACCCCAAGATACAAGCCCTCAGCCGCAATCTTGAAAGGGGCCCAGTCGGGAAAGTGGCCGCGGGGGAAAGCGGCGACGTCGTCGCGGACCGCGTTGGCAAGCTTCGCCCATAGGGGTATGATGACACATTTCTTGACATTGAGATGTAGATTGCCGAGCACCGCAGCTTGATGAACAAAAAACGTCAGCCAACGGAACCATGAGAGCGACGCGTTGAAGGTAAAGACCAATATCATCAGCACAGGCGCCCGTATTGCCGAACTTGGGGTTGGGGATCACAACATTGACAGCTCTGATGATGCCGTCCATCGCGATGGCCCAGGTGGTGCCAGACAGTGGGCAGCCTTGGGCTGCTCCAGATGCCAGGGGCAAACAAAGTAGTATTGGCCATTGAGAATAGTGAAACCGTAGCCTGGTCGCACAGAGCAGCAACCGCCTTGACAAAGCCCATCTCGAACTGAAACTGGCTGAGGGCCTGGGAGAGCCACTGCCTCCCCGGAGAGGGGAAGGCTGCAGCAATGTCGAAGACAAGCAGGATAGGCTTATCACGCGTAGCTTCCACACTCCATCCTGCCACGCGGCCTTCGGCGCCCATCATCAGGATGTTGTTGCAAAAACTACGTCCGCGAGTGACCCCTTGTTGATAATGATGAGCATGTACTTCAACGTGAGATCTGAGTTAGAAGTTGAGAGCTCTCGCGAAGAGCTTGGAGTCGGTGCTATTCCGAAAGATCGGGCGCAACTGTCCTGCTTCGCGCGGGCGGCAGAAGCGGCCGGTTCCCTCCTCGCCGGACTCGAAGAAGCTCCACGTGACATCTTCCAGCGCTTCCAAGGCCCCATCAGTCTCTGCCCAGGCTCGATATGGGCGACGATCGGTACCCGGCGCTGACACGCGAGCACGGAGAGCAACACGGCGCATAACAGCAGCGGAAGGAATGGCGGATTTCGGCGCGGTGATGTTCGGAGGGGCAAATTGGCTGACGTAGTCCTTGAGAGCCCGTTCGTCAACTTGCTTGCGCGAGAAGATGGGCTGCCAGTGATCCTGCGACGCTTCCGCGTGTGCTGCGAGGTCCGTAACTATGCCCCCCTCGTTCGCCAGACGAATCCCAGTCAGAGACGGTGCCCGTGCAAGTGGAGCCCAGGCCCTGCTTCGCTTCTGTAGTATGCGGGCCTGCTTGGGTTGATAATCCTTTTCCAGCGTGCGACCTTGTTGCTAAGCTCGCTGTGTCGCAGCGACCGCTTGCTCTTTGCGAAGCCGGAGGTGCTGCAGATGAGCGCGTCGCGAAGCTTCTGCATATTAAGATTCATCCAGTAAACCAACCCTTCCACCAGCGATGAAAAGGGGGTCCTTGCCAATCTCCGCGGCGTTCATGAGAGCGTGGGCCAGGGAGAGATCCTGTCTCCAAGTGGCCCGCGACATAGAACGATGCGTGAGCAAACGTGCCTCGGCCGCAGATTGGTAGCGCACTGCGCCAGGGCACGTGGTGAGTTCATTGCGAGTGAGGCGATCAGTTTCAGTCATGATGTACTTTGAAACCAAGCCAACGTCGCTCCGCCGTCGTAAATTGCAGCTGCGAGCGCTGCAGAAGAAGCGAGACATTCTGCTTGTTGCGGGGGACCTGGAAGATGAAGGCGGGGATCGGCTAGATGTCGTTCGTCTTGGGATCAGCAATCGCAATCGTAAGATCCACGAGCGCATGATCACTGCGTCGACGATCGCTGAAGCGGCAGGACCCTTGTCAATTTTCAGCGCTCGCGGCAGAGTCGGGCAAGCATAAGCAGGGAGACGGACGAAGACGCGGTCAATCCTGGTCTCCTTCATGGCGCGGGCATCGAGGCGCGTGAGCTCGCCACTCGAGACCCCGGTCATCGACGCGAAGAGGTTCTTCCAGAAGGACTGATGGTGCTGGTCACCCCCAATGCTGGAAGATCATGGGCTGCGGGCCCAGACAGGAGACAGCGGGCTCGTCGTGGATGTTGAAACCGCCGAGGGCAACGAAAGTCCGCGATGGCGGAGCAACCTGCGCCCACTGTTGGTACTTGTGCCAGTCAATCTGGAGGGCTCGCCGTCGGCCCAGCGCGGGCTCAAAGTTGTGGATGTTCATGAAGGCAGCAGTGCATGCATCGCCGTGGTAGTGTCGAGGGCTTGCACGCGTCCTGGAACAAGGGTGCGATGGAGAAGGATTCTGCGATCGGGGACTACGGAGACATGGTGTCGGATCTCTGGCGAGCCCCCCAATCCTGGCTGGCCAACATCTGGGATCTGCCCCTTCGCTATGGATGGCCGCCTCCCCAAACAGTGCAGGCACCGCCCCTTGGCCAGGGGGGGCGCGTGGACCCGGGCGACCCAACCGAGAGAGTTCACCTGGAAGATGATCAGATAATGAGGCCGAAGAGATGGCCGAAGAGAAAGACGTTGAACTGGTAGACGTAGAATGAGGAACGCGATGCCGTGGAGGGAGTCGATGGCACAGGAGTGCCAGCATGGGGCGACTGGCCATCCAGGTCCGCGACGTCGATGTTAGGCAGCTTGGGGAAGACAAGCGCGACGCCTCCCGTCCTCGACAAGCCGCTGTTGGAGCATAACGTCTCGTAGGAGTAGGGAGGAGTCTGCAGGAGTCGCTGAAGGCGAGCTGCATTACCATGAACTTCTTGCACAGCAATGATGTACCCCTGTCGTAGGTATGGAAGTTGAAGTTGAAGCTTGGCTTGGCGACGCCGTCGATCAATTGTGAGCAGGCTGCGAGCATTCCAGGTGATGATCATGAGACCCTGTTTGGAGTGGCCAGTCCGCTGAATGTTACCCCCAAGATATGGCCTTGCCCTCGTCGAGGAAGTCGTTGAAGCGCTTTTCCACGGCGGGGCAGTTGATGCCGCGCTGAGCTGCGAGCTCACGATTCAATTCAATCTTGGTGGGCATAGCTGCGGTAGTGCCAATATCCAGTCGAGCAAGAGGAACACTGTCAAGCGTGACTCGGCCACGCTGTTAGTAGGGCCTGAACGAGAAATTGGCGTAGTCAGATTCGCGAATATTGCGAAGCCGTCGAGCGTGGATCTCACGTCGAATTTGTCGGGCATTGCGGTCGGCATTGACATGGAGAGGGGCACGCTGTCCCGCACCGGTGCACTTGTGAAAGATCGCCATTCTCCCCCACGTAGCTTGAGACCACGTGCGGGCGCCGTAGCTCTGGGGACGACCACATTCTTGTCGCCGAGAAGCCGTAAGGTGAACCGCTTCGCAGGAACATCGCCAATAAGAGAGGCATAGGACCAGTCAGCGCCAGAATCCTGAAACCAGCTTTGAAGATCATCCCGAAGATGTTGAAGCGATACGAGTTCTTGACATCCAATTGAGAATACAGCAGGGTCAGGTTGTCGAGCAAATTCAGCTTCTGCGGCCAAGTCGACCACAGGAATGGCGGCTTCCGAAAGGGCAAGTGTCCGATTGATGCTGTCGATGGCTTGTCCATGGCGCTCTTGCTCTCCTTCAGAAGCAGCGATCCTGCGCTTGAGGTGAGCAACCTCCCCTCCGTGGCACCCAAGCGCTGGTCCGTTTTCCGCTGGTACTCGTGAATGGTGGAGGTGAGCGTCCGCGCAGCGGCGTTCTTGAAGGCGTCCATGGCTGAGTCCACGTGCTGGGTGAGCTGGTCGCACAAGGAGGCGGAGAGCGCCTCGATGGAGCCAGGCGCTGGAGGCGGTGGTGCCGCACCAGGGGCCACATCGGGAGCTGGACCTTTTCCCTGGCCCTTGTTTGCCATGGTAAGAGCCCGTGCACGATCAACTTCTGTTTGCGGAAATGCAAAGAAGATAGGCGGTTCCCCATCCTCCATGGCGGCCGCGAGAGCCTCACGCTAGAGTTGCCAAGGATCAGCTTGCTGGAGAGGATCGGAGCGAGCGGCACCTGGAGCTGCTGCAGGAAATGGCTCCGTGACGCCGCCTGGTACGTGAGCTGCTCCACCTCCAACTCTGCCAAACCGAGCGGCTGCAGCACTTTCTCCTTCGTGTTGAGGGCGATTAGATTATTTGTCACGGAGCAGGCCACCTGCTTCACCCCGAGGCTTGTCGTAGTGCTTGGGGCGACGACGGGGAGGACGTCCTCCAGCACTGCGTGAGGCACTGCGATCTCCTGCCGATGGAGCGGAATCAGAGAGGGCGTCCGTGAGAGCGTGCCGTTCGGGTCCCCGCGGATGTGCCATTCGAGAAGGTCCGAGCTCCACGACGAGAGGGCCTCAACCGTCAGGAACTGCTCGAGGACGCAAGAGAATATGAAAATGCTGCTGAGAGCGAAGGATATGAAGGGGTGCCAACTGACCCGTGAGTGTGGCTGGAAAGTCGATTGGGCTGGCCGCAGACTAGCGGTGTCCATTCCCTGCTTGCGCAAAGCAAACATCTTGAGACAAAATGGCTTGAGCCGAAATGGATACGGAGGAGGGGGGAGGAGGAGGGGGAGGAGCAGGAGGAGGAGAAGGACGAGGAAGATTTCCTGATTCGCTGCGGGCTGATCCCGTCACCCCACGTCCTCCCTCGAAGCCGGCCCTACCCATCCATTCCCCGAGCAGGACTGAACGGGCGGCCCGACAGGGCTCCGTCCCGTCCTTCAGCTTTCAGGCGTAGGCGCTCCACCCTTCCATGCACTGGCTGAAATGGCACTTCCATTCCCATCCTTTCCCGCGCGGTCCGTCTCCCCCCCTCCCTTCCCTCCTCTCCCTCTCTTCCGTCTCCCCCCTCCCTCCCCTCCTCTCCTCTCCCTCTCTCCCCCTGCCGCCCCCCCCCGTCCTTCCCCTCCTTGCCCCCCCATGGTGTAGTCTTTGGCCGGCACGCACGACCGCTTCTCTCAGGCATCCGCTTCAAATTATTTGGCGGTGTAACCAAGCGTCTCGTATTTGGCCAGTGCCAGTGCCAGGGAAAAGGCGAACGAACCACATGCACACATGCACCTTCACTGATCTGACGTGCCTTTTCGCACCTGCATTGTGAAACCATTACGCTACAATTTGCACCTCTTCGGTACGGACGTACATTTTAAGAGTTGCCATGCGCTCAAGGAGGCAAAGAACGTGAACAATTCAACCAGCTTTCGTTCTACGTCCTGGATGTTACTCGTCTGCACGAAGCAGGCTGAACGACAACGTCGAAACGATTTGCAGCTCGGCCGTCATCAGACATGGCAAACGACCCAGCATCAAAGACACGGGGATGAACCCGCCCAGCTACATCGCAGATGAACTCCTGTGTTTGCACGTCGCTTTCGCATGCACTGAGCGCGGTGCCCTCATTTGCCGCCCTCCGAGGCTAGTCGGCCAGTCTCAAACAACTCCATTGTTTTCGGTGCGCACATGTACTTCAGCTGCGCCCCGGCTGCTGCTGCTACTGCTCAACGATTCGTGTCCTACGTCGCCGCTAGCAAAAATCGTTGCGCATCGCGCCGAAATATGCGTGCACTGAGACGGCGGCTGGCTGATAACATAACGACGGGGAGGGTGCTGACTGAGGGAGCATAGGAGCATAGGGGGGAGGAAGAGCACATACTTCACAATGACCTGGCGTGGCCAAAGGATTCCTGAATGTCTTCTCCAAGACATCCTCAACATGTGCATCTGGAAGGGTCGGCCACCAGGGTCCCACGGAGACAGGCAAAACGCATCGCGCCAACACTGCGACAGTGACAAAACTGCCGATGAAATCTGACACGCGAACACAAGCGTATGTCACGTAGTGTGTTGACCAACGGGGGGAAAATAGCAGGCGGAGGGCGGGTCGCGAGAAGGCAGAGCGAAGACGGGCGGAGGGGCCCACGTGAGCATATTCCCGCCTGTCTACTCAAGAACGGCCGCGCGTGCACGGCCACCGCGATCAGGAGCGCCGTGAAGAGCGCCTGGCTATGCGCCCGCCCCCTCCTCATCTGCACCAATCCCCGCCTCCTCCCTCAGCTCTACCCGCGGTTTCGGAAGAGCAGGCTCCTCCTCCTGTCCCTGGCTCCTCCTCCTCCTCTGTTTTCCTGCAGGCCTACATGTTCTGAGCAAAGGATGGGTACACATACATGTACACGTAAGAGTAATACGGCAGACTGACTACACAGTTCGAGCACATTTGGCAGAGCTGGCTGAACCGAGGTACGTGAACCGAGATATGCAATGCAGTCGTCGAGACCGACGGTCTCTGCAGTGGAAGAACGCACCAACGTCTCGAAGTAGACCCCCCGGGAGGCGATCGGGAAACTATGCCGAAGATCGCCCCTAATGGCAACAGCCGCGATGACCAATGCTTCAGCTCTGCCTACGGTTCATCAGTTCCTGCTCTTGAACCTACTCATCACCGTCCTCTCATGCCAGTAGCAGGGGCAGGGATAGCAGGTACTACTGAAACTACTTCCCAGAGACCCTGGAGACCCACCCCTTCCGCCAGAGAGTACTGATTCTACTACGGCCATTACTACCCCTACGAGGTTTATATGACTGCTACCTCCACGCCTACTGCGACTACAACAACTACGGCTATTGCTTTCACAACTACAGCTCCGACGGCCGCAACATCGACTACTGATAGTACGATGATTACAGCCCTGACTACGGCTACTTCTGCAATTACAGCAGCTAAGGCTACTACAACTATTGCGACTGCTACGACTACTAGCACGACGACGACGACGACTACGACTACTACACCAACCACTACCACCACCACCACCACTACTACCCCTACTA